TCGATAGAGAACTCCACCTGCCGGTTAGGCGGTCCTCCTGGAAGCTCGTCTGGAAATACGTCCACAAACTCTCGAACGACTGGAACATCGTGAGGTGAACGTGCTTTCTGAAATTCATCGACAAGGCTCACCAGATAACCCTGGCAGTTGCCTCGTCGCAGCAACTTAGTGGCTTTCGCCATCGAAACAACATGAGGCAACGAACGATTCCTGGAGCCGAAGAAAGTAATCGACTCGTCTCCCGGAAGATAAAGCGTAATCTCCCGGTCATGACATCTGATATCCGCATGATAAAAGGATAGCCAATCCATTTCGAGAATAAGTTCGAAGTCCCTCATCTCGAGAACAAACGCGTCGGTAGACAATACTCGGACACCGATGGAAAGGCTAAGATCTAATGCTTTAGCTGAAGTCACTATCTTTCGTCCCGAGGCTAATCTTACCTCGAGAGGATCGATAGCGGTAGTAGCGCGAACTCCGATGGCATCAAGACATCGTCGTGAAATGAAAGAATGTGTCGCTCCAGTATCGAACAAAGCAAACACAGGAACATTATTAAGAACAACCATCCCTGACATGGTACCTGGCTGCTGTTCGGCCTCTGCCTGATCCACTGCGTAAACTCGGGCCTGCTGTCTGCCCCTCTGCTGTTGCTGCTGAGGCGGCCTCTGAGCCTGCTGACGGGGCTGCTGCTGCTGCGGTGGTTGCTGAGGCTGCTGCGCCTTCTTCGGACAACGGTTCGCGAAGTGTCCTGGCTCGTGACAGTAGTAGCGTACATCCTGACCAAAGCGACACTCGCCTCGGTGAAGTCGTCCGCATGTCGGGCACTGTGGGATCTGCTGTAGCCTCCGTCGGGTCCTCTTGTCTGTCGGGGGACCTTTCCCCTTCCTCTTCTTATTCTTCGGTGGCTGAGCAGATGGTAGAGCTGGCATAGGTGGAACTGAAGATGACTGAGCAGGGGCGGATGGCTGGAACTGATCACGGACGACCTCCCTCCTGATGCTGGCGTCCACCTCCTGTGCAATGGAAACTGCACGCGCGTAGGTCTGTGTCCCGTGGCCTACGATGTTATGACGGACTGCTGGGTAAAGCCCGTCAATGAAACGCTGTGCTCGCTGGGCCTCCGTGCGGACCAAATCAGGAACGAAAGCTGCAAGTCTAGTAAATTCCCTCTCATACTCGTCAACAGTACGAGTACCCTGCTGGAGCGATAGAAACTGACGCTCCATCTCTGCTCGGTAGTATGTGGGGTAGTACTTCTCGCGGATTAACTCCTTAAACATCTCCCACGTACATCCCGCCTTCTCGCCGGGACGCATGCTCCAGTAAGCGTTCCACCAGAGCCTAGCATCACCGGTGAGCTGAAGCTGAGCGCAAACAACACGATATCTCTCAGGGAACTCCATGACCTCGAAGATAAACTCCAGGCCCTGAATCCACTCGTCTACTATTCGAGGATCTCCCTGCCCTGAGAACTTTTCGGCATGATAGTTGCGGAACTGGGCGACTACTGTAGCCTGAGTAGGAGCCAGATGATCGGGTTCCCTACGTGGCGGCATCTGAACATTGAGAAAGTTCAAAATTATTGAACACGTGATAATATTCTGACTGATTACTAAGGCACACAGATCTCTTGACGAGTTGCCAAAAATGGCCGATAATTACTGACGTGAAACCTGAGGAACTCTGGAGTCATATCAAAAGATACTAAAGTCTAGAGTCATGTCTGAGTATACTGATCTCTAAAGTCATGCCTGAATATACTGAATTCTAGAGTTATAACTGAACTCTAAAGTCTGAACCTGATTCGAGCATCTTAACTAAATCTGATTACTGATTTCTGAGCATAGACAAAGTAATATGTTTATAGCTGAAAAACTGAATTAGCATTTACCTGGAGCCGGCGAGGCGTGAGCGTGATGGTTCAGGTTTTTCTGAAAATTTCTGACTGAAAAACTTTTCAGAGACGCAGAAACGTGCTCTGATACCAATTGTAACACCCCGACTTTTAATACTATCAGAGTACGCGATTTTTCGCAAATTTTCTGAATAAATAAATAAAACATTAATTTTTGCGAAAACTGATTCGGGATGCTACCGTAAAAAACTTAATTTTTCTGAAAACCGTTAAAATTTTAAACTTATAATTAAAACGGCTATAATGTCTTATCCGACTAACGTCGGAACAAAAACTGAAAATAAGTACTGAAAGTTTTAGCGGAAATAACTGCGTGGCAAAACATATATACAATAATCACAAATATCCTGAACAGCCCGCCCGCTCACTCTTCGTCTCCGACCATGCGACCTGAAAAACATGAAATACGTGGGGGCGTGAGCAGTAAAACACTTGTGCTCCGCAGAAACTCATACTAATGTAAACATTGTAAATAATAACAATATCATGAACTAAGCATATATAACTGAACTGAAACTGAACTGATATCTAATACCGGTCTGATCTCGCGACATAAGTCACGTATTTGATAATTGAAATCTGTCGGCACAAATTAATACCGCAATCTACCGGCACAAACTAATACCGGACCATGTGCACACTCTAGTGG